GCTCATCTTCTTTATTTTCCATGGTGTGAGCATCCATATACAAACAATGAAGTTCATTTACTTTATGGACCAATCTCCTTTACGATTTTATCTTAAGATGTTTCCTGTTAGCCACACACCCCACTTTATATATTACACAAGCCCTTAGGTCTTATCCCAGCAAAATAACAGAGGCCATGAATTTTCTGAATGAATGTCTGTCTTTATTTTTATTGATTGATTTGATGTACTCCACTAGTGCAGCTATTGCATTTCCCTACAACACAAAACTTTGAGAATTCAATTCAGCAGAATCTTTGAAGTGGGGTTCTAATTAGATCCATTAGACCATTTTTTGAGATGGGTCTAAATATCCTATGCTATGATTGCTCACTTCATTCTCCTGGAAATGCAATATTTTGCACATTTTGCCCAAAATTCTTCTGTAGTTCTTCCATGTTCACCACCAAGATTTTCATTTCCATGTAAAGAGAATCCTACCTTCTGATATGCATTTTAGTGACATCATTCAAGATTTAACATTTTCCCCCTTCTGGTATCCATCAATTACTCCATTCCTTAATAGCAAACCACCTTCATTCAGATATTTTACGTGTTTTCATTTCATAAGCTAACAACATAACTTTCTCTGTTTGATATCATTTTCTTTAACAGAGATTATATTACATTTCAAATTACATGCTGTGATCAAAACCAGATGGAAGCACATATATTAACCCTCTTATCAGAGCTGCAGCCAGTTGTTGCAATTATAACAATTTTAAGTAAGCTAGAGAAGGAGTAAATTTCTATGGTAACTACAGATGAGGAATTGTGGATATGTGCAGAATGATCCTATCAGTATTCCTGTACTTGTCTCTCTTCTTTCTTCCCCCGTCTCTGTTATTTTAGCTTCACCGTTTCCTGCTAAACCTTTTCAACCTTAATAATAATTCTTTGGATGGATTATATTTGGATGAATGTGGAGAACTGGCTGCTGATCTTGACATCATAGGTTCAGTCCAGTTTTCCAATAAGTCAGTTGTCTGGGCAAAATTTGGGAGCCTAGCAAGGCAAAGATTTCCAGAAGCCATGTTTACCATTGACCAGGATGCAGTAATGTTCCCAAAATGGCTAAATCAGGTGAAGGGAATTCTCCCCCCCCCCCAGTTCTTTGCAACCCCAGAGAAAAGCAAATGTAATCAATCAATCAATCAATCAATCAAATAAANTGGGGTCAACAGCTGTAATTTAAGCAAAACTTTATTCTTGTCCACATTTCAATACTGCATAGATTTCAATGCATTTATAGCAGATCCTCTTTTGGCAGAAGAGTGGTGTGTGGGAAGGTGTAGATTCAAGTGAAAGTTGAAGGACAGAGAATGGTTCCAAGGATTCTTGTGACTATTAAAAGCATCAAGAACCAAAACTAATCTCTCCCATTGTTTTGATTGTTCTCTCAGCCTCTAGCCAGTGGTGCTTTTCCAGTGTTCTGTTCTGAGCCTATTCCTCCATGGGGGGTGTGGGTATGATTCAACAACAGGCTGTCCATTTCTTCATTTTTTTAAAAAAATTGAAACAGAAGTTCAAAAGAGGCCTTTTGTGAAATGCTCATCTTTTCTGCTTCTTAGGCAATTAGCAAATGGCTTGTTCTTTTAGAGCACCAATTTGATCTCTTAGAAATGCTCTGTTACTCTGTCTACATTCCAAATATAGTCAAATAATTCAACATTTTGCTGTTTTTTAAACAAATACTTTTTGCAATAATTTCAATTGACCACTAGGTTGCAATCTTTTTTCAAAATAGTTGCCATTCGGTTAGAGATGAACTGTTCTTGAAGTTGCTGTTCCTTCCACTGGCTTTCACCTACTCGCTCATAATCGTGATTTTAAAAAAATGCCCAGGAAGTATCATTTTTCTGTTTGGCACCCGTGATGCTGCTTCCATTTCAACCCCAGCCCATAGCTGAGACTGGCTTAAGTAGTTGTTAGCTGCATCTGTGACTTAAAGAAGTGTTTTCCTTCTTATTCTATTTTATTTATTTTTATTTTATTTAGTTTGTCAAACATGTACAAGATAACAGGTAGAAGTATAAACATGGACATGAACAAGGGAAATGAGTACAAATAAATGGACACCGTAGGACAGGGACGGAAGGCACCAGTGGTGGGTTCCGTATTCTGTTGCAACCGGTACGCTGCAACAGGACCCGGCATCCACCATGTGAACGTGCACAGCACATGAACAGCGCGGGCATGCATACTTACCACCCACAACACTCCAGCTGCTCGGCGGAGCATCACACAGGTGCTGTAAGCTCTGTGCGCATGCGCCAAAGTCCTGATCAGCTCAAATAGCAGTAAGGAGAGCGAGCAGGTGGGTGGGCCCTCTGGAGCACCATACCGGAACAGTACCTGGTGCTCCCAGCAGGCACCTATACGCCCGTACTGGGGCATACCGGTCGTATTCCACCAGTGGAAGGCACGCTGGTGCAGTTATGCACTCCATCTTTTATCTAACACCATCCAAAGAGAGCCTCAAGTTATGCAAAGGGAGTTAAACTTGGATTTTTTTCAGATGACCAAGGGAGAAGGGGAGGATTGATAAATATAGAAGACCGACTAATGACTGGTAGTAGCTTGATCTTTACAAACTCTCTTTTTATTTCCTGCAGGGTTTCTTACAAATGCGCTGGTCGCGCTTTGCCCGTGTGGTTTTCACTCGTTCCTTCGCCATTCTTCCCACTGTCTTTGTCGCTGCCTTTAGGAATGTAGGAGATTTAACAGGCCTCAACGACCTTCTAAATGTACTCCAGAGCATTCTGGTGAGTTTCTAATCCAGTAGCATTCTTCTCTCAAGATGCAGTACAGATAGTCCTCGACTTGTAACCATCCATTTAGCAACAGTTGGAATTTACAACAGCACTAAACAAAGCGATTTAGGACTGATCCTTGCACTTATGACCATTGCAGCATTTTCAGTCACATGATAAAAATCCAGGCACTTGGCAGGTACTTATAATGGTTGCAGCAGAGGTGGGTTGCTCCCGGTTGTACCCGGATCCGGCAAACCAGTAATAGCAGTGGCAGGAGGCACTGGACACTTTTGCACATGCGCCCGAATTGGTGGTAAAAAAAAATGGCAATCCACCACTGGGTTACAGCATCCTGGGGTCATGTGATCAACATTTCTGACTTTCAGTTTCCAATAAGCAAAGTCAATAAAAGAAGCCGGATTTGTTTAAGGACCATATGATTCATTTAACATTGCAGTGACTTGCTTGACAACTGTAGCAGAAAAGGGTGTGATTCACTTAACAACCAGTGTGCTCAGCAATGGAAATTCTGGTCGCAATTGTGGTTGTAAGTCAAGTACAGCCTTACTGTAGATTCTCAAAGATCTGATTAGCTGTAGACTTTCATATAAATCCTCTAATCCCATACAGCCACTTTCTGAATCTGGCATCCTGCAGATATAGAGAGTTCAGGTCCCAGAATTCTCTGCAGTGCCATCTAAATAGGGAATTCTGAGTGCTGAAATCTACTATTCTGGTATGTGCTCAAATTCATTCAGATTTCTAGGACTATAACTCCCATTAAAACTGCCATTATTTCCTTTCTTTTTGGCCATCCTAGTAATAGTGGAATTTGTAATCCAACATACCTAGAGGTTGTCCATCTGGGATGACTGCTATTGACCTCTTCCTGCCAATGTTTCTTTCGAGGAAGGAACTCCCGGCACATTTTTCTTTCAATTCTGCAAATTCAGAGCCAGATAAAATATCCATCTTTAATAGCTTCAATAGCCACGACTACATTCACATGGCATGCCAGGTCAGAAGATTAAACAGATTGTACAACATGCTTAATTTGTTTATTTGTTTGCTTTTGTGGCTTAATGTGTCCTGAAGTGCAAGCTTGTTTGCTTAATTTAAGGTTTAGTTTACTGTGCCAATGCAGAAAATGAGCTAATTCAGTAACCAGGTTAAGAGGATTTTGTGAATGTAGACTCCCAGTGGAAATGCAGATACAGGTAGTCCTCAATTTACAACCACAATTGAGCCCAAAATTTATGTTGCTAAGTTAGAAATTTCTCAAGTGAGTTTTGTTCCATTTTTATGACTTGCCACATTTGTCAAGCGGATCACTGCGGTTGTTAAATTAATAACATAATTGCTATGTTAATTTGACTTCCCCCTTGACTTTGCTTGTCAGAAAGTTACAAAAGGTGACCCCGTGACACTGTAACCATCATAAATGTGAGTCAGTTGTCAAGCACCCGGATGTAAGTCACATGACCATGGGGATGCTGCAACAGTCGTAAGTGTGAAAAATAGTCATGCCACTTTTTTGAGTGCCATTTTTTGTCTTAAGTTGAGGACCACCTCTATAAACATTGCTGATCTGTTTGCAATAAATTAGTTTATTTAACCACATTTGCAAAATTAAAAAATTAAAAATAGTGACAATGATCTTTATCTGATAGGGATATAAAGAAAAGATTTCAAAATATATATATTCTAGAACTTGTATCAAATGCTTAAAGTACTGTGACAACCAGCATCCCACAACCAGCAAATGTTGTTGATTACAATTGCCAGCATTCCACTCCATTGGCATGGAGAGCAGGGCTGCTGGAAGATGGTCCAACATCTGGAAAGTACCATATTTTTCACTCCTGAATATAAAGCAAAAACATTTTTTTCTGATATTCTATAGGTCAAGGCTAGAGCTCAAGTTACAATAAAAACACAGTCAGGGCTTTTTAGGCTGACACCTGGCACTAATCTGCTAGCTGTGGATATTTTTTCATCGGATAAGGGATGGACTACAAACCAGCATCGTGATTATA